GGGGGTGCGGGGGCCGGGCCGTCGAGCTCGCCCCCGTCGTGGCCCATTGCAGGTCGGGGCCGCGCCCGCGGTGGCTCCTGGACGCCGGGTGCCGGGAGAGGCTGCGTCCACCCGGCCTCCGGCCCGTGACCGGGTCCGTCGCGGTTCCCGCAGCCATGGGGCGCCGTAAGTCCAAGCGGAAGCCGCCCCCCAAGAAGAAGGTGACGGGGACGCTGGAGACGCAGTTCACCTGCCCGTTCTGCAACCACGAGAAGTCCTGCGACGTCAAGATGTGAGTGGGGGCGAACGGCCCGGGAGGGGACGCGGCTGGGGGGCCACGGCCGGGGGGGGGGAGTGCCACGGCTGGGAGGGGGCCACAGCCCGGGAGGGGGCATGGCCAGGGGCTGCCTGTAGCAGCCTGTCCTCTGCTGCCCCCAGGGATCGTGCCCGCAACACGGGGGTGATCTCCTGCACCGTCTGCCTGGAGGAGTTCCAGACGCCCATCACGTGTATCCTTACCGGGAACCCCATCCCCCCAACCCTCCCTGGATCCCCCCTCCGCTACCCTGTTAGTGCCTTAACATCCCCCTGAGACCTGTCGGAGCCGGTGGACGTCTACAGTGACTGGATCGATGCCTGCGAAGCTGCCAACCAGTAGCGGCTGGGGCAGCCCCTGCCCACAGCACAACCCCAGACCCCTGGGGCGGGAGATCACATCCCTACCCCGAGACCTGAGGCAGAGGGGTCATGTCCCTGCCACCCCTTTGTGGTGTTTTCTTTATGTTTTCTACCTTTCTGTTCCTGGGCATGGGGCTCCAGCTCACATGGGGACCCAGGATGTGTCCTCCCCCAAGGACGGGACTCCTGCTCTTGGGGCGGGTCTGAGGGAGGGAGGGGGCTCGCCTGGCCCCTCTGGGACTTGTCCCCATCCCAGGGACTTAATTGCCTCTCACCAGCAAGCTGTAGGGACTGCACAGGAGCGGGGCTGCTGGGATGCGGGCACAGGGGCCAGGCGCAGAGGCGACGTGTTTTGGCAGAGCCGCCCTTGAATAAACACCCTTGTGGGGCTGGGCTGGGGCTCTGTGTCCTTGTCACTGACGGTGCCACTGTGGGGGGCACAGCGATGCGTGGGGATGTGCGGGGACACTTGGGGATGGCCTTGTGTGGATGGTCGGGCCCACAGGGGCCAGGTGATGCCAAAGCCCTAGTGAGGCTCAGTGGTGATAACAAATCTGTTCTGGTTTCACAGCTACACTGGGACAAATTGTCACCCTCACCCACCAGCTCCTAAACCCAGGGACCCCGTTACCCCCTAGAGACCTCGTTAGGATTGACTTTATTGTCACAGGTGCCTGCGTGGGTAGGAGGTGCCGGGGCCGGGCATTTCAGGGGCTCTGTGGGGGTCACCCCAGGCTCAGTGCTGCCCTGATGTGGGGAACCTGGGTGTTCAGGGCCACCCCTGTCCCACTTACAGCATCCTTGCGCTGTCTGGCCACCGAAGCATCCCCTCTGTGCCACCACGTGTCTTCCTGTCCTCCCCCCCGTGCCCACTCTGTGTCTTGGTATCCCTCTGTCCCCATTCCCCTTCAATGTCCCCTCTGTGTGCCTCGGTGTCCCCACATCCTTGTCCCATCTCCATGCCTCGTTGCCCCCCCACCAGCTCATTCTGTCCCACCCCACGTCGTGTCCCCCCAGCCCTGTGCCTTGCTGTCCCCTGTAGTTCCCCCCATGTCTCGTTGTCCCCTGTCTTGCTATTGTGCCTCCTTGTCCCCTGTGCTGGTGCCCACATAGGCGGCAGGTTTGCATGTGGGTTTTATTGTGCCTCGGTGGCGGGGGGGGAGTGACGGCGGGGCCGGGCCCCCTGGCCGAGCCCCCCCGG